GATTTGGAATTCGCTCAACAAATTAAAAAAAAAAACAGAAAAACAAAAAAAAAAAAAGCCCTACCATGATTTGGCTCAGCCAAATAGAAGGGCTAAGCGAATTTAAGCTAAAGAGGAAAGGAGTGCAACAAATTAAAAAAAAAAACAGAAAAACAAAAAAAAAAAAGCCCTACCATGATTTGGCTCAGCCAAATAGAAGGGCTAAGCGAATTTAAGCTAAAGAGGAAAGGAGTGCAACAAAAAAATCCAAACATTCTTATAATAAATAAAAAAGCCATTTTATATTATATAACGTTCATGTTCAAATAAGTTGTGCTAACAAGAAGAGACATTTGCATTGATGGAGAAGGAAATGGATATGCAACCTAGCTTGCTAATTAAGGCCATAAGTTTTCCCCAAGAAACAAGAAGAGATATTGATATACCATATGTTCCGAGGGTTATTATATATATATATATATATATATTAAATGGGTCCAGTTTTGCACCGAAACATTCAGCAAAGCAAATGATGCTTTATATTTGATTTTAAAATAAAGGGATTTGTATTAATTTTAATTTATTTTAAGGTTGTTGGGGGGATATTGAATGGAGTTTATTCAACGATGACGTAAATATATATAATCAACTAATCATGATTAAAGGTCATACTTATCCGCCCCTATCAGTGTACGTGGGGTGTGGCAGTCATGATCGGCGTCTTTTTTATTTTATTTTATACTAAAATTCATTTGAATAATTAATAACTTACGCATATAGAGAGTAGAGAGTGAGAGGGGTTAAAATTATACTAATGTAATTTTTTTTAATAATCGAAATGAAATGATATTTTTATATTTAAGTTGGAGACCGAATCCTATTCTTTGATTAAATAATAACTTATGGTTATATTACTTTATTTTATATTAATTATTATTGTATTAATTTTATCTAGAAACTAACTAAATTTATATAAACTAATATTACATTATTTAATATTTTTTATTAGATAATTTTATCTTAAAACTAATAACTCAATTTATAAGAATGGATAGCATCTTCTCTTGTCAACAATGAAGTTTCCACCATCAAACCTCTCAATTTCAACAGTATATATCCTAATCATGTCATCTTTAAAATTGCAGCCATTATTGTTATTATAAATTTGAACCCAAGACGGTTGGAAAATATACAAGTGGTGATAGTTGTTTATTTATTTATTTTCATGAACATGGTGTATATAATGTCTTAAAGTTTATAATTAAAAATTATTTTATATTTGTAAAATGTGATTTATATTGATTAATTGGAAATACCAAATTGATTTCCTGTATTTTAAAATAGACTTTAGAATTATTGGGTTAAGAGACTTAATTAAATGATGATAATTTTACAATAAAGAGTAAATGACAAGAAAAAAAAAATCCAAGATGTGTATGAATTATGAAACACTAAGCTTTAGTTTTAATTTGTCCGTAATCTTTAATTTATAAAAATTGGCTTGATGCAATATATGTAAGTGTAATGACGAATCCCCTTCGAGATACAACAGAGTTCTTTAAGTATAGTTTGCAAATCCACAAAATAAGTTTATTACTGCCAATATATATAGTTTACAGAATATGAGTTTCATTATTTCTCTATGTCCATACGATAAAGAAGGAAGTGATTGGAATCTGAATGGGTTTGTGTGATATGTATTTTTCTGTATACAAGTTAATTATATTTATAAACCATTTTATGTCTTTTAGCGAAGAGGTAGAACCTTCAAAGAGATAATTAATCTTATGTACTTACACACAAAAAAAAAAAAAAAAATTTGAGAGGAGAAAATAATATATATATATATATAAAATATTTTATAGATATGATTGTATGACAAGAACTTGATATAAACATGTTTCTTATAATATATATATATATTTTTTTTTTTGAAACGGCCAAATAAAATTATATTGTAGCACTAGGGGTGCCATAATCCCATATTTACAAGATATTGGTTAGGGGTAATTTAGATTAACTATCAAAATTACGAACTAATCAAATAAAATCTTAGTATCCCACCTAAAAGTAATTTAACCCAACATTGCAAAGCAAAACAGTGAATCTCGAATTCGCCCTTAAGATAAGAGTAGTTGATCTTTATAAAATTTATGTATATCTATTTTCATTTTAATCTCTAGAATATTTTGTTTATTTTGAGTTAGTCTTTTTGAAGAAAAAAATTTGATAGGGACGAAAAGTAGAATTTAAATATTATAAGGAAAAAAAGATGAAAACATAACCATTATACAAAGATTAAAAAAATAACAATAACCAAAATAAAATAAATAAATAATAATAACCATTTTTAATATATATAT